TTGGCAAACACTGTTTTAGTGCGAATAGGTTTGGTTACATATTTTTTTCTTCTTCTATTATCTACAGTCGAGTCAAACTGTATAGTTTTACGAATTTTTAGAACAGTCACTAAAATGTATAACTGTCTCACGGTTAGCACGTCGCAAAATTTATATAATGCCGTAGTGGGGTACCAGCGTGGTTTGAAATACATGACTTTAAGAGGGCAGCGTTGACCACGTTCAACCTCCAAGAATTTGCTTTTAGTAGCCCCACCCCATATAGAAATGCAATATCATATCAGTTATTAACATATTCTTATCCAAAAATAAAAATTGTCAACAATTAAAATATCGAATTATTTGTATGAATGTCACGTGAGCGCTAGTAATGTAAGTAATGAAATAGTACAGTAAAAATGTAATTTAACTTTGCACTAAATTTCCGCATTTTTTTTTCTTTTTACAATAACAATCCAACGCGTTTATGTAAGAAGCCCACACTTTAAAAAATCTCACGTGAGATTGAGAGAGGGGGAGGGGGTTGAATAAAATCTCAGGACATCTCACCAGGAGGGGAGGGAGGGACAGAAAATTTAAACAAGCACCTCACGTAATTTATGGACGCCCCTAAATTTGCATACCGTGTGCAGTTAGGTCCAACTTGAGAGATAGGATAGTTTTTTCCCCTTGAGTGAGCCACAATTTTTTTTGCGAATTTAAGGATTTTTAATAGGACATGAGAAAGGGTGGTCGAAAAGGGCAGAACAACGTCTACCTGGCAAGCTAGTAGGACTATATGTTTTGAAATAATACTAGTTTTTAAGGAATTTATCGCGTATATTTAACTTTTTAAATACCCGACGTTTCGAACGCTTTACAGCACTCATGGTCACGGGCGGGACTGAGATGCTCAACGTCCATATGTCATAGTTAACCGCGGTTACCACAGATTAAAATTTAACTTTTGTTCCGATCTATGCAGTATGAACTTATGGTATCTTGAAGTCTTGCAGTTGTATGCTTGGGTTGGGATTTAATTTTATTTATTATAGGATCCCAAGCAGGTAGTAGCACCCAGCCATCTTCTCTATTGAAATTAGGATGTTTTTTTGATTTCAATAGCCTCGCGAATCATCCTTGGAAGGAATCGGTGTTCTTTAGCGAGGATTTGCGGTCTATCAAATCTGATGTAGTGACGGGGGCGATCCTGTACGTGTTCACAGACTGCAGACTCCCCGGAGCGTCGATTCCCTTAACCTTATGGATCTTTTAGTTTGTCCTATGTAGGAGAGACCACATTCACAAACAAGCTTGTACACTCCTGCATCCTGCAGAGGGACTGATGACTGATGACTGATGGTAAAAACTGACCAATCTTCTTCAGCGGCTTGAAGTATGTTTTGATGGAAGCACGCTTCAAGATGTAGCCAATCTTGTCAGTTCGACTGTGGCCGGCTTCACTCGTTCACTGTGACATAGGCGCGGGACTCGAAGCTTGTTGTCATGCAAAACTTGCTTGACATGGTGGAGCTCTGCAGCCAGGTGTTTACTGTCACAGATCCCTCGTGCTCTCTGAAATAAAGATTTACCCACGGTAGCTAACTGTGAAGGATGGTGGTGAGAATCACCGTTTAAATATCTATCTGTATGGGTCTTTTTTCTATACACAGTATGGCTCAAGGTGTTATCAGGATTCCGAATTACCAACACATCTAGAAAAGCTAAGGAATTGTTTGCCTCTAACTCCATTGTGAACTGAATTTTAGAATTTTTAGAGTTAAGATGGTCTAAAAATGCAGTTATTTTATCTAAAGGTAGAATTGTGAAAGTGTCGTCTACCTACCGCTTGTAGAATCTTGGATTTATGGGAGAAGTAAGCAGGGCTTTCTCCTCAAAGTCTTCCATGAATATGTCGGCGACAATGGGAGATACAGGTGAGCCCATCGCCACACCATCTACTTGCTTGTAGAACTCCTCCTTCCACAATAGGTAGCCAGATGTAAGGCAGTGTCTGAGTAATACTGCATATTCTACTGGCATGTTGTTTTCTTTCAGCCTTCTAGTTACAATTGAGATGCAGTCTTCAACAGGTAAGCATGTAAACAATGACTGCACATCAAAACTGACCATAGTTTCATTGTCTGCCAGATGTAGGTCTTTAATCTCGCTGACAAAATGGTAGGAATCCTTTATGTGTGCTCTTGTATGTCCCCTGAGCGGTGAGAGTATTTTCGCTAAGTGTTGAGCCAATCCGTAAGTTGGTGAATCGATTTGGCTCACTATGGGACGTAATGGAGCATTGGGCTTGTGTATTTTTGGTAACCCATACAATTTTGGTGATTTGGCGCACGTAGGTATTATACATTTTACGTCCAGATTTAATTTTTCGGAGTGTTTCTTTATGAGGTCACTAGTTATTTTTAGTGTGCTATTTGTTGGGTCGTTTTTAACCTTTTTATAAGTACACTACTTACATCCGACAAAATTTCTTGTATTTTAGAATTATAATCTGACGTATCCATGACTACCGTGGCGTTTCCCTTATCTGCGCGGAGAATTGTAAGTTCTGGTTTATTGCGTAGGTTCTTTAACGCTATAAATTCGTCTTTGGGAAGATTCGGTTTAGGCACTGAACATCGACGTAACATAGACGAAATGTCTTGACGTATCGCCTCCAAATCTTCTTTCCGCATATTGTTTTTAAATAAACAGTCCTCGACACTACAGATAATTTCTTCGTACGGTAATTTGCGGGGTGTAATAGCAAAGTTGAGGCCTTTGGATAAAACCCTAATTGTTGCGTCATCCAGTGTTTGTTTTGACAGATTATAGAGCGCGATTAATCTATGATCTATGTTTGTCAATGATTGCTTTTGGTTCTGGCATTGATTCAGATGTTTGACATTTGACTTGTTCGTTAATTTTTCATATTTTTCTATATGTTTGTTTTTGCATTCGTTATATTTACTAATTTCGCGTTTATTTAATGTTTCCATGCAAAAATTGTAGTCAAACGTCGTTAAAACTTTCATTAATTCACTGGATGATGTGTCTATGGAATTGTTTATGTCATATAGATCGGAGCGTTTTTGTTGGATTACCGTCCGTAACAACTTTTTACTCGCCTGATTTAAGTTCATAGCGCTTCCTCGAATGTCCTTTTTGGTTGATATTTTGACACACGTAGGAATGAGATTATGGTCTCGGAATCTCTTCCAGAAATTTAAGGCTGTTAGATATCTTGCGCGCTTGGTCATTAGATCCTCTGATCGGCGTATTTTATTTGCAATTACCAGTCCGTACTGGTTTACGTAATAATTTCTTATATTTACGCGAACACTACACATTGAAATAATACTAGTTTTTACGGAATTTATCGCGTATATTTAACTTTTTAAATATGATTTCTTTATGTATGTTCTTATTGTTATGTGCGGTGTTAGTGAAAAATCCAATGAAGATCAGATACGGATGAATTTTTTCACACACAGCAAGTATACAATCAAGTTGACCAAACGGCTAAGCTCTTCATCGTGGCAACTATGGCAAATATGCCCCCTATGAAACAATCTATGGTAGAGGCCTATATTGAACAATAGAATTTTGATAGGTTCTAATGATAATGACGATGATGAAGAAACCTCACTGAATTCGAAGCCCTCTGGCAACAATGAAATTGTTTATCGAAATTTTAAGTGCTTATTAACTTACCGCGTAATCAGCTGCGAAGGAACTGTGAGGAAACCCGCATAACCATTGCTGTCATATCTTCTCCCTTCCTTAAGAGAGTTTAGGGCAAGGAAGAAATCAAAGAATGTTTCTATGCATGCAGCTATATTACGTTTGTAGTACGAATGCCTCGGCTCGACCAGGGTAGGACCACTCTATTACAGAATACCAGCGTAAAATATTATCTTAGTGCTGCTGATCATCGTGTGGTTAGTGTAGAGTACTGGATATCAATTTTATTGAAAACGTGGCTTTCCGACTTAGCCCTTAGGGGTATTTATCACCTATTTGCATTACGATTTTAATCGAAGTTAAATGTCTACAAGCAATGTAAATGTCTACAGCACCTGTCGTTGCGGTTGATCATGGGCGGCGGTAGTCACTTAACATCAGGTGAGCCACATGCTCGTTTGCCCCTTCTTCTATAAAAAAAAAACCTTCTTATCATCAGATGGACTGTGTGCTCGTTTATCACACTTATATTATAATTATTTTTAGATACTTTAACTATTTTACGAAGACAAAGAAAAGTTCACAGTTATCTTAACGGATCGGTCAGAGGAAGAACTAATTTTGTTTAGGAACGTAATGGTCCATCGAACTGTAATTTGGAGGTAAATAATATTTACCTTCAAATTAGATATTTATTTGAAACAGACAACACTGATCCATTACAAAATTTAATTTAAATATTACATCTTAAATATTAATTCTTATTATTGGTTAATTAATCAAAATATTATATATTATGATTCAAATATTAATAAATTTGACCACCTACTAAAAATTTCGCACAAATATTACAAATAATTTTAATGAGATTATTGTGCGACCCAAAAAGAGAACATCTAAATCGCGCGAAACGGTCCGCACATCCAAACCATCGACACGGGCCTCTGCGAACATCTGGGATGCACTACAGTACCGTGGCTGACGGAACAACACGCGTAACGAATCATTATACTGCACTTCTAGCCTGCGGTATTCCTTTTTAGTGTAATTCGTCCACAGCTGAGGAGTGTAAAGTGGCTGACAGTAAGCTGAAAACAACGCCAGTTTGGAGGCATAAGAACACTTTTGAAAGCGTCGAGCTATCATGTTGCCACGCACTGACAAGGAACGTCGCTCGCGGTCCATGTCGGAACCATCACACACATCCTGAGTAACAATATGACCTGCTGCGCCCCACAGGCTGTCTTAACGATGGCCCATATTAGTGCCCAGTCGACCAGCCGTATCTGCTCCACACTCATAGGATTCGAATTGCGAATTCCCACACGCGCAGAGCCAGCTACGGCACTTAAACTGAACTTCTTCTCCCCCGTTGCCAGCTTCACAGACTTCCTTGAGTGGTCTTTAGGGGACTCTTCCTCGGACCGACTGCGTTTTTTTGCCTTCGGAACTGGGGGAGGTTTGGGCAGAGGAATTTCGTCCCAGGGCTTCTGGCAGAGAGAGAGGGCCTCGTCGGCTCCTATCTCAGCTGCTATCAACCCTCGGTACCTCTTCCTTGTTGCCACACTAAGCTTATAAGGCCTAGCGAACTTTTTCTTTTCCTCTCATATAGTACTCGGCGAATCACTACTTGTTCTATGTCTACTTTAGACATGCATTGAAAAATACTGATAGGAACGCAATTACCCATGGTCCTCCAAACCGAAGATGTTGCACGCTTATTTTATCATATCCTGTCGCCTTTCCTGGTTTCATCTGGAGCAGAGCATCAAAGAGCATCTCTTCAGATACATGAATGTCCTTTGTCTGTTACGTCCCTTCAGATACATGAATGTTGTTTGTCATGATATTCATGTAGCAGATGGGAGGGACATTTGACATTGACAAGGACACATTTCATCATTCAAAGTAGTTTATAACAATATATTTTATTTAAGATGATATAGAGAGCGTATGAAGTCCACTAACAACTGCTGGAGTGTTTTTAGGCTATCGAAAAATTTATATGAGCCCTTATCTTAACAGAGAGCTTTATATTCACTCCTAGGTGGAGAGTTCATCTGGGTAGATACCATACCATCACCACCCTCTTACATATATCTGCCGTAAAATCACCTCTGTTTTGGGCTTGGAAGGGAAAAGCAAGAATATGATTATTTACAGTCTGTAAGGCATTTTCTTAGTCCTCAGAGGTGACAACACATCTATAGCGTTCTTTCTTTGAAAATGAATAGATTGATATATATATATATATATATATATATATATATATATATATATATATATATATATATATATATATATATATATATATATATATATATATATATATATATATATTATATATATATATATATATTTGATATGATTGATACCCATGGATAGCAGTAGACACTTATCATATGTGGATTGTACGTCCGTATGTCACAATCTTATAAGAAAGAATGTTTATAGACTGTTATCCTAATGTATATTTAAATTTACAGGACAAAAAACAGGAGGAATGAACAAGGATACAGTTACGGAATGTAATAACAAAGCATGTTAAGACTTTTAACTCTTTACGTCGGACAGTATACTACAGTGGTTCTAGTACAGTATACAACCGAAATCTTCTATAATCGTAAAATATTATTATATTCATTGAAAGCAACACTAAAAAAGTTAAAAATTAAAAGAATATATAAATCTTATGGTGATGGTTGTAATTTAACAAATTTAGGTACTTAGTTTAAGAATAAGGATTTTTGTAAAATTTAATAAATATTAAAATAAATATACAAGTTTTTTTTTATTTATCATTTTCTTTGCAATAAGATTTTTACGTGGTAGAGCCACGCTACAGCTATATTTTGGTTTTAATACGAATGGGTTGGCTCGACCGGGTGAGACCACGCTCTCACAGAATACCAGCGTAAAATAGCAGCTTCATGCGGTTGTATTTCGTATTATAAGTGTAGAAAACTGGAAATGTTTTACTGGAAAAAGGCATTGAATCTTAGTCCTCAGGAATGACAACGCATTTGCGTTTTGATTCTTAATCGCGTATAAATGTAGATAGCTATGGGCCACAGCAGCCACTTACCATCAGGTGGACTGTGTGCTCGTTTGTCACCCTTATTACTTATTTAAAGTAGACGAGCATCATGTTCATTTACCAACGACACCTAGAAATTGTTAGCTGTAATCTTCAGTACTGCTTTTCACTTGCTTGTCTGAAAAAATTTCGAGGAATAACCAGGACGCACTGAAATAGCCTGGCGTAATAAATAACAACAGTTATCTCAAAATCTTTGATTCATCATGGTGGTTCAACATGGTGACGTCTATGAGACAGCACCATTTCTCTTATAAAAACAGTGATGTGATATATATAAATTACGTGTCACGTTGTTTGTTCGTAATGGACTCCTATACTACTTAACCTGTGTTACGTATATGTGTACTATACTACTGAACATGTGCAGTATAGTCTAACTTGAGAGATAGGATAGTTATTTTGCCCATGAGTGACCCACAATTTTTTTGCAAATATAAGAATTTTTAATGGGACATGACAAAGTGTCGTCAAAAAGGGCAGAACAACGTCTGCCTGGCTAGCTAGTTTAATATAAATATAAAAATAAATCCATAGGAATTGTTAGTAGAGAAAAACTTACATCTATGTTAGTAATATAATTTATACTCATTTTTTTAATAATTAATTAATAAGCAGAACATAGTCCTGGAGTTCGTATTTTTGATCAGTGACAGTCCCCACTGTCGGCCATCTCACTCAGCACACTGTGGCCTCTGCACAGAATACGTTTAGCAACGATGCGGTATTTTTTCGGATTATTGCACCAAAGTTATCCACACCCGCCGGTACAAACATCGCAGACGCGCTACAGTAGCGCGGCAGCCGCAACAGCGCCCTGAATGCCTTATTATATTGAGTACGTAGGGCACTATAGGCCTTTTTGGTGTAGTTGGTCCATAGACTGCAAGAATAAAATGACGCACAATATGCTTTGAAAAGCGTGACCTTGACAGCGTCAGTGCAGCGACCAAATCTATGCACCAACATATTCGCCCTGACCGACAGTGCCTACGTTCTCTTTCAATGTCTTCAACGTCTTTAAGGCTGTCAGTCACAATTTGTCCTAGATATTTAGAACTACAGACCCTTTCAAATGGTTCTTTATAGAACTTTATAGGTGGTACCACGCTAAGACATTTACCGCCCAACCTTAAATACCATAAACTGCGACTTTTTGGTATTTTATAGTAAACCATGTAAGACAGCGAATTTTTCACAAACACCACATAGGTATATATAGATATATATATATATATATATATATATATATATGTATATATATATATATATATATATATATATATATACACACAACATGTAACAAAAAACTTGTGGTTCCCGTTAACTGTGTTATTAGAATCAGTATCCAAGCATATAGAAATATTTTTTCCAAAAAAACACATTTAAAAAAATTAATTTTAATAAAAAAATTTAATTTGCCAATTTTATGCAGACTTTTTATTCTCTTTGGGAAGAGGATTGTCAAAGACCCCGCATTACCGATACTTGTGTGTGTTAGAGGAAATAAAACCACATACAATTTGCAAATTAATTTTTTTTTCATTAATATTATTTTTTTTAAATGTGTATTTTTTGAAAAATAATTATTTCTATACGCTTAGATAATGATTCTGATAACACACTTAACGGGAACCACAGGGTTTTTGTTACATGTTGTAACATAACATATAAACATAAACACTCACGCCTGTCACACAGAGGGGTAGGCAGAGACTACAGACTTCCATTTGGCACGATCCTGACACATCTCTCGCCTCCTTCACATCCATACACCTACGCATACATGCTCGTCGGTAAGGGTACTCCTAATTTGGCCGTTTTCTAAATCGCCAATTTGGTCGATAAATTTTCGCCTAGGACGTCCCTTTCCGACTATGCTATTCACTTCTGCAACATAAATTTTCTATGTCACTCTTTCCTCATTCATTCTTTCCACATGACCAAACCACCGAAGCATTCCTTTCTTAATCCTGGTCACAACATCATCTTGCAAACCACACTCTTCTCTTATTACACAATTTCTTACCCTGTCATTCAGATTCAGCCCTAACATACTCCTTAACGACCGCATTTCTACTGCGTTCATTCAACTCTCGTGCTTCTTCTGCCACACCCAACTTTCACTACCATACGTTAAAGTAGGGACCAACACAGTATTGTGAAATGCCAGACGTGCCTTTTTCGAGACATTTTGACTCTTTACAATAGAGTGTAGGGCCCCATTTATTCTATTTCCTGCATTCACTCGTCGTTCTATATCCTTCTCCCATCCCTGCTAAATACGCAACCCAGATATACAAACTCATCAACTCGAGGTTGCTCGATCAACTCCCCTTCTATTCTTATTTCCCATATCGTCTTACTTTCTTCTCTTTCAAAAACCATAACTTTCGTCTTACTTGCGTTCACTTTCATACCCCTTTCTTTTAATGATCTGTTCATTAATGTAACCATCATTTGCAGCTCGGCCGCCGACGACGCAAGAATAACTTGATCATCGGTGTACAAAAGGCATTTGACGGGTCCCATTCTTAATCCGCATTTTTCAACTTTCAAATTTTGCGACCAACTGTCCATAAAAACCGGGAATATATATATATATATATATATAAAACATGTTACATGTTGTATAATAATATAATATCAGTAATATATTCAGTTCACTTCGTATCGAGCGTCTTATTAATATTAATAAGACAAGTTGCACGCGCTGTAAAAGATAAAATATAATGACACATAGAGTAACAGTATTTTACAATAGAGTTGATAAATTAAATGGATTCAGGGCCGTGTATCATGGAGTTTTTTAGAGCCATGTATTAGGGCTATGTTTAGCAGTAGATTTGTTATTTGTGGTAATGATGTTGACAGTAGTGCTTGTCCAGTTCTATTAAAACAATTTCTAACTGTGCACCTAAAATTGATGGTGTCAAGATGTAAACAAAAAACCCAAAAAGCTAATTTTGATTCTTAATTGAAGATAGATATAGACGAGTATGGGCCAAGGCATCTGCTATTATCGGGTGGACTATGTGTTCGATTTGTCGCCGTTATTCTATAAATAAAAGCGTGCTTTTTTCTGTGAGGCGTAATGGGTAGCAAGCGACATGTAAACGGGATTAAACGGCGTCTTAAAACTAACCATCATCATCATCATCATCATCATTACAGCCCTTTACAAGTCCACTGCTGAACATAAGCCTCCCCTAAGGTATACCACAAAGCACGGTCCTGAGCCACCTGCATCCATCGACTTCCTGCATGTCTTACCAGATCGTCACTCCATCTAGTGGAGGGTCGCCCTAAACTTCGTCTACCGGTACGAGGCTGCCACTTGAGAACCTTTTTTCACCAACGGTTGTCGGTTCTTCGAGCTATATGGCCCGCCCATTGCCACTTCAGCTTACTAATCCGTTGGGCTATGTCGGTCACTCTGGTTCTACTGCGGAAATCCTCATTTTTAATTTTATCACGCAAAGAAACTCCAAGCATAGCCCTCTCCATAGCACGCTGAGCGACTTTGAGCGTCCTCATACGGCCAGCAGTGAAAGACCACGTCTCAGTTCCATATGTCATCACTGGCAACACGCACTGGTTGTACAACTTAGTTTTCAGGTTTTGAGGTATACCTGACGAGAAGATGTGTCGTAATTTCCCGAACGCTGCCCAGCCGAGTTGAATCCGTCGATTGACCTCTCGGTCGAAGTTGGACTTATCTAGCCGGACTATTTGTCCCAGGTAAACGTACTCGTCAACAACTTCGAGCTTAGTGCTCGAAGTTACAAACAACTACCGGCATAGGTGTGACATGGACATTAAACATGATCTTTGTTTTGTCCATGTTCATCTTAAGACCTATCCGTTGGGTGGCACTATTGAGGTCATTGAGCATAGTGCTTAAGTCCTCCAGTGATTCTGCCATAAAGACTATATCGTCGGCAAATCGAATGTGAGTGATGTACTCGCCATTGATATTAATACCGTATCCTTTCCAGTCCAGTAGCTTGAAAACGTCTTCCAATACAGCGGTGAAGAGTTTCGGGGAAATAACGTCACCCTGTCTTACACCTCTCTGCAGTTGGATAGGTTTCGTACTCTGGTTTTGTACTCGGATAGCCATCGTATCCCTACTGTACAAGCACTTCAGCACTTCGATATACCGACAGTCAACATGGCACCGCTGAAGAGACTGTAGCACCGCCCAAATTTCGACGGAATCAAAGGCTTTCTCATAGTTCACATACGCCAGACAAAGTGGCAGATTGTACTCTGCGGACTTCTGTACTATTTGCCGAAGGGTATATATGTGATCTATGGTACTAAAGCCTTTTCGGAAACCGGCTTGTTCGGGTGTTGTTGACGATTCGTAATGACTCTCGAAAACAGCACGTAGACGCGGCTCAGAAGGGATATCAGTCTGTAGTTCTTCAAGAGGGCGTTGTCACCTT